GAGAGTGTTTGTGTTGTGGGATTTATTGATGATTGCTACATGCCATGAGGACGTCAAAAATCGTTTCTACAGACTCGGCTGGAAATCACAGTCTGGGTTTGGGGACCTGGGTTGGGAGAGGGGGGAGATGTTTTTATGGAAACACAAGGGTGTGAGGGTTGCTGGGTCACCTGTCTCTAGCTGCCTTGCCCAAGATGGTGTTAAGTTGCCTTCCTGAACCTGCTGCAGCCCATGAGAGCAGTGAGCACTGCTGGGATGGTGTGAGAGCTATAAACTAGAATGGAGTCACTTGGAAAGAACACCCACTGGTGTCAGTGCAACACGACCCCAGCAGGAAGCTGAACTAAAGCGGCCTCAGCTCGCTTACTGTTACTCCCAAAGTTCACAGATGTTTCAAGAATCAGTTCCAATAAAGCATGAGGCAAAGCTACAATCACATCGAGCCTCAGACTCTAACAGTTGACATGAGGGACTGTTTCACTGCAATGCTGCTTAAACACAGCCAGAGCCCAGGGTTCCAATCTCTGCAAAAGACTTGAGACATCTCCTCTTGATGTTGCCCCATGTATGAGCGATATTTACTCATGGTGACCACAGCAACAGTCTGTCACTGAGAGGCTTGATTCTGGTCCAACAGGGCTCAGGTCTTATACACTGTGCAGAGACAGCTTTGGAGTCCTCAGCAAATAGCTATCACAGTCGGCTCCCCCGCTCTATTAAGCTGAAAGTAAAACTTCATTTACTCTTCCAAACCAAAAGTGAATCTCCCTCTATTCGATACAAAGTAAAGTTCCTTCTACTCTTTTAACCGAAAGTAAAACTTTCTCAACATCGTCCCCATCAAACGCTCCCAGGACACCGACAGCATGGGGTTTGACATCGATCCTGAACAATATGTCTTTAGTCCTTCCCTCACAACAGTTTTCATTACTATGGAAACTGCTGGGTGAAAAGGTCTAGGTTCAACTCTGGTCTCCATGCAGTAGGAAAGATGTTGTTAAACTTGAAAGGGTTCAGGAAAGATTTACAAGAATGTTGCCAGCGATGGAGAGTTTGAGCAATAGGGAAAGGCTGAATAGGCTGGGGCTATTTTCCCTGGAGCATTCTTACAGAGGTGACCTTGTAGAGAATTTTAAAATCGTGAGGGGCATGAATAGGGTAAATAGACAAGGTCTTTTCCCTGGGGTGGGGGTGTCCAAAACTAGACAGCATAGGTTTAAAGTGAGAAGGGAAAGATTTAAAAGGGACCTAAGAGGCAACATTTTCATGCAGAGGGTGGTGCGTGTATGGAATGAGCTGTCAGAGGAAGTGGTGGAGGCTGGTACAATTACAACATTTAAAAGGCATCTGGATGGGTATATGAATAGGAAGGGTTTAGAGGGATATGGGCCAAATGCTGGCAAATGGGACTAGATTCACTTAGGATATCTGGTCAGCATGGACAAGTGGGACTGAAGGATCTGTTTCTGTGCTGTACCTCTCTATGACTCTATGACTTTATGGGTGATCCTAGTTTTTCCCTGTCCTTGTGGTCACATGATCCCATGATAATGAACTTGTTGATAGTCACAGCAAATATTCCCTTACATGAAGTGAAGGAAAGAGCTTCTACCATCTACACTCCCTCCACCACTGATGCTCAGTAGCAGCAGTGTGCACTATCTACAGGATGCACTGCAGAAATTTATCAAGGCTCCTCAGACAGCACCTTCCAAACCCATGGTCACTTCCATCTAGAAGGACAAGGACAACAGATAAATGGGAACACCACCCCCTGCAAGTTCCCCTCCGAGCCACTCACCATCCTGACTTGGAAATATATCGCCATTCTTCACTGTCGCTGGGTCAAAATCCTGGAATTCCCTCCCTAGTAGCATTGTGGGTCTACCTACAGCACATGGACTGCAGCGGTTCAAGAAGGCAACTCACCCCCACCTTCTCAAGAGGCAACTAGGGACGGGCAATAATTGCTGGGCCCTGCCAGCAACAACATCCCACGAATGAATCAAAGAATATTTCACATTTTAGTGATTGTGTGACCTCTTGGAGCAAGCTTATTAATTCCCAGAGCTCAGATTGCTTCGACCCTTTCCCATTTTTGTAACCCTGAGCTCTGGCTCAGGCACAAACAATCCGACCACTGTAGGTTCACGGTGTGAATGGCTGTAGCTGAGTCTCTGAGGAACACTGAAAGGGAGAGGGGAGATAGGGATGGAGAGGGGGACAAGGAGCAGGGGCAGGGGTAGGGTTAGAGGGGTGGGTGATAACGATAACCATGGCAGACCCATTGCTCCTGAATTGTTGGCTCCAGTGACAGTGCCCTGTGATTGGCTGGCTTTGTTTGGATTCAGAGAAAGAGCCAGCTCTCCCCCGCTACTGTGTGTGTGTGTGTGTGTCTGTGTGTGTGTGTGTGAGAGCGGGGGGGGGAAAAGGGCAGTTTGTAGGGGGGGGGGGGGAAGGGAGATGGCGGGGTGTTGGGGGGGAGGGGAAGAGAGAGAGAGTGTGTTTGGGGGGGGAGAGTGTGTGTGTTTGTGTGTGTGTGTGTCTGTGTGAGAGAGAGAGAGGGAGAGAGTGTGTGTGTGAGAAAGTTTGCAGATGACACTAAGATTGGTGGAGTGGCAGATAGTGAAGGGGACTGTTGGAGGATGCAGCAGAATATAAATAGATTGGAGAGTTGGGTGGAGAAATGGCAGATGGAGTTCAATCCAGGCAAATGTGAGGTGATGCATTTTGGAAGATCCAATTCAAGAGTGAACTATATGTTAAATGGAAAAGCCCAGGGGAAAATTGATGCACAGAGAGATCTGGGTGTTCAGGTCCATTGTACCCTGAAGGTGGCAACGCAGGTCGATAGAGTGGTCAAGAAGGCATACGGCATGCTTTCATTCATCGGACGGGGTATTGAGTACAAGAGTTGGCAGGTCATGTTACAGTTGTATAGGACTTTGGTTCGACCACATTTGGAATACTGCGTACAGTTCTGGTCGCCACATTACCAAAAGAATGTGGATGCTTTGGAGAGGCTGCAGAGGAGGTTCACCAGGATGTTTTTCCTGGTATGGAGGGCACTAGCTATGAAGAGAGGTTGAGTAGATTAGGATTATTTACATTAGAAAGACGGAGGTTGAGGGGGGTCATGAGAGGTATAGGCAGGGTGGATAGCAGGAAGCTTTTTCCCAGAGTGGGGGACTCAATTACTAGGGGTCACGATTTCAAGGTGAGAGGGGAAAAGTTTAAGGGCGATATGCGTGGAAAGTTCTTGACGCAGAGGGTGGTGGGTGCCTCGAACATGTTGCCAGCAGAGGTGGTAGAGGCAGGCACG